AAAAAATAAAAAATTACGTGAGCACCAACTCCCTCTAACTTAACACACAACCAAATTACGACAATAACTTGAAACAGAATATACTATTACCCACTAAAACCCATTAATTAAAATTTGTTAAAAAGGTTTGCCAAACATTTTAACTTGTCTGGTATCCACTAGTGGCCATGGCTGCGGGAGGCCGCCGCCCAAGGCTTAATAACCACCCGGCGGCGCAACCCAAGTGCTACTACAACATCCTCAGGTCCCACTTGTACTAACGTGAAATATATAAATACAGGGTAAAAAACAAAATAGGGCCAATCGATTGATCTTTTATTTTTAATTCAGTTTAAATAGTTTCGTATGAAAAGAATCAAGTGGCATGGAAATAAGTTCGTATATTATTTTTATCTTTCAGTAGACAAAAGCGTGCACTGTCAGACAAATTATGTTTAGCTAATTTTTTTTTTTTAAAAATCACTTTTAAATAAATTTTTGTTTCTAAATATGTATGGATATGCAATTTTTTTTTCATTTTTATTTACTTCTCTTATAAAAAAAAATAAATAAAAAAAAATCACACCTTCAATTACAACCCAAGGGACCAGGGTTAATATAGTTACACTTAGGGTCCATTTGATTGCAAGAATGAAATTTGGGTAGAAAGAAAACAAATTCTATGAAATTGAATTGCATAGAACTTGTTTTATTGAGAATTGCCATTAAATGTGTTTGATTGGTATAATTTCTCACCTGAAAAATGTTGAGATTTTGTATCTTTTGGAGTTCATTTGACTTTGTTTTCATGAAAATTGTCAATTAAAGTGATATAATTTGTTGCAATTGTGGATAAAATTTGTTTCCATTGCCAAAAATAAAATAAAAAATTAACAAAAAAAAAAAAAAAAAGAGTTGGAAAACACTTTCTCACCAAAACTAAAGGAAAACAATTTCCTTAAAAACCAAGAATGGTAGGGTGGAAAACAATTTTCGTGGAAAATTTTGCCTATCAATCAACACATTTGGGTGGAATTCCATTTTCCATGGAATTGGCTTGTATCAAATAGGCCCTTAGAGAAAAGTAATTTCTTTACAACTATGGTAATTTTGTTGAATTTAGCAAGGCAAAAACTTCATTGAAGTCTCGACAAGTAGGTTATTATTATAGTTGGAGGGAATTTGGGTGGAGAATGAGAGAAAATCAAGCTTATTACAATCACGTTCTTCGATTTATTTTCTTTTCAATGTTGGATTCTTTCATCATTTTATTCTCTTGCTTAATATGAGTCAATGTAAACTAGTGATGATCAATGAATTTGTTTACAAGAAAGTTTCATCTTTCTCGATGTAGCATACAACTTTTTTCTGTAATTTTCTCCGTCATTCAAAAATATAAAATATTTCAAAAAGTGCCCCTTATGGGGTAGTCGAGTTGGGAGGGTAGGTGAGCGCGGAGACCTTTGATCATGAGTTCGATTCTCCCTACCAACACTTTCTTGATCGAGTCTGTCGCATAGGACTTGCCTAGTGCGTTTTATCTGACTGGCGTGATTTGTATGTTATTGCATCAGCCTGAAAGTTTATCCAGTGCGCACAAAAAAAGTAGCGGCTGCGGGTTCTCTCGCCATATAAAAAAATAAAAAAATTACAAAAAGTAAGTTATTAATAAAAGTGAATTATGATCTAGATCGTAAAAAGACTTATTAAAGCATTTTAATATATTAGTTAAGATAATATTTATGAATAAAACATGTAATAAAGTTATCACTATTAGATTGGATGTAGTCACTTGATGCACTTATCACATGCCATTATAGTTGGGATGAATTATCATGAGCATGGATTGGTGGCGTGCACAAAGAACCCACTCAAGCACATATATAAAAAATTGAAGAATAAGGACAAAATTCGTTCAATACACCAACTGCCAACTGGCTTTTGAAGCTATCTTTATTTTTAGCCTAAGAATTCCAATAGTACCATGAAAATACGACAAGTGTTTAGAGCATTTATACACATGAAATTTTTTTGCCTTAAAATTAGGTTATGTCATTCTATCTAATCATATGATTTTCGAAGTACCAATCATATAAAATATAGGCTCATTTAGGTGACAACAAAACGAATAATAAGCACCTTGGAATTAAAATTTATTTTTAATGTAAAAATAAATAGAAGTCTTATGAATATTTAAGTAAAGGAACATGAGTTATGTCCTGTATTTGGAGGAGTTTGGACTTGTCGATCAACAATTCGAACTTTTCACTGAAAGATTGAGTGAGTTTAAATGTTTAACTTGCTTTAACATTACTATAGTTCTTAGTAACAAGCCATAATCAAGATTTCGATTAAAAAATCTTTGACTAAAAAAGGAAGATTTTGATTGAGAAAAGGAAAACTTGTTAATTGATTTTAATTTCTAACTTGAACAATGTGCTTTATGGTGTGGTGTCTCTAGTATATATTAGTCAACATAGGCAACAAAAACTACTGGCCATTTTTCAAAAAATATAATAAACTTAAAAATTGGCCACACTCAGTCTACTTTCCCAACTCAATGAGTCAAGGGTCCCCCAAAAAAAAATGAAAAAAAGAAGGGAACTACACATTTAAGTTTAAACAAATAAAATACAGTCGATTTTAACCACATTCACTTTTATTTTAGTTTAGTTTATTACAATACCAAATGTGCCCGTAGTCGTGTTTGCCATTACCATAGCTCCCTTTTAACTATGTATATTTCTACGTCCAAAAATTAAATGAACCAAGATATCGTTAAATTATTGATAGATGACAAAATTGCACT